TTATACACATATTTTAAATATATACATATAAAGAACCCGAAAAAGAAGGCACAGACATTCACTCCCACCAAATATGGTGGACGTGCCCCTCAACATGATTTCGAAGCAACAGTGGAGCCTTCATAAATGAAAATACATATTCAAACAATAATAAAAGCATGACACAAGTAAGGTTTTCGAGCCAGCTGACTATCAAAATTAATGTCAAAATGTATTATTGTGATTGAAATCGCAGATAGATATATAAACAAATTGCCGACAAAATGTCAACATATTTTGACTTTTAATTGAAATTTTAAATTTGTAAGGACACCTTGTTATAGCACCAGGACTTTTAAGTACTATATTCGGTAAAAGCAAGTTTACATAAATACAAGTAAAAAACATTAAGTTCGGCCGGACCAAACTTTTAATACCCTCCACCTTAGGGTAAAGGAAACATTAGAACCCATTGTGTCGCACAAATACCAATTTTTAGACATATTCATGGGAAAATGTCGCAAAATCGGGAGGTACCACTATATTCGACTATACAAAAACGTGAATACAATATTTCGGCAACGGAGCTAGAATCCATTAGAACACAAAAATACCAATTTTTAGACAAATCCGCGAAGAAATGTGGCAAAAGTCATCAAAATACCGAATGTCTGGAGGTACCGTTATATGGGAGCTATACCAAAACGTGTGCCTATACATACAATGTTCCCCCACCGCAGCCAGAACTCATTATGACCAACAAATACCGCATATCGGGAGGTACCATTATATGGGGGCTATACCAAATCGTGGACCTATACATGCAATATTTTGCCACCGAAGCTAGAACCCATTATGACCAACAAATACTAATTTTTAGACAAATCAGTGAAAAAAATGTGGCAAAAATCATCAAAATACCGAATATCGGAAGATATCGTTATATGGGGACAGGTAGTCGCATCAACACAGCTGCTGGGACAATGAATTGTCAAACCAATTTTTGAATTCAAAATTTTGAATGAAGAATTATTCATAATTGTAAAATCCATATCATAATGACCTCCGATTTACGTCGTATAGGAAAACATATACAAATCTACTTATTTTTGAACAACATTTTGACATATCAATGTTCCTAAGCATTGATGCATCTACTTGTATTCTTCTACATACTTTTACTATTTCGATCACAGCGAGCCCTATTTTCATGGGCAAAATATTATTTTATCAAAATATAATTTAATGAAAATATAAAAATTAAATTTTATTTCAATGGATAATAAAAGTGACAGGAGATATGTAAATCCCATTCCGTCTGATAATGCTTTAAGTACGAAATTAACAACTGATATGTCAAAAACTTTTAATTTTTTTTCAAAAATTAGTAGATTTTAAAATGCTTTCCTATACGACGCCAATCGGAGGTAGTTATAATATTTTTATTTATTATTCAACAATTTTTACAACAATTTTTCATTGAAATTTTTCAATTTCAAAATTAGTTTGACAAATCATTGTTCCAGCAGTTGTGTCGATGCGACTACCTTTATTCTCCTACCATGGTACCGGCTTTAAAATAAATTTGGTCGTGAGAAGATCTACTTTTATATGGTATATCTCCTTGAATTAATCTGGAATAAACAATAAATCCTGATAATTAAAAGAAATCTAAACACGCTATTAAGTTGAGTACACACTATCGAAATAGGCCATGATTTGAGTTGTGTTTACACAGAATGTTGTCCATGGCGCAATGATAATGTGTGGCACTAGATTTTCATAATAAGGCCAAATGTCAGAATTTGTTCAATTTTTATTTATATTTCGTACTGTAATTTAAATCACTATGAGTAAAGTGACAGCTAACCAAATGGTCGGCTCTGATAAGGGAGTAAGAATTTTTTGTGCCCCTAGCACAGGAATAAAATAGTTGAAGGTCTCTTGATGCAAGGTTCCACGGTACTCCTACGGCGATGTCACCAAAATATTCAAACTATATTGAACGTAATAGGGTTTTATGATAAATAAAAAATTTAAAGAACTTTCTTGTCAGCTTGCCAAAAATGAAATGATTAATTCTAAAGCCAAAAAAATATAACACACACAACGATAACCATTTGAAAATATATTTTGTTAATTGAATAAATGAAGCATCAGGCGATACGGACAAGAAAATGTATGAAATATGAATGTGGTGTTTTATTTGGAAAACTGGTGTAGAAGTCTTTGGAATTTTTGGCTTCTTCAAAATAAAAACTGATTTAAAAAAATATCGTTTACAACACTAACAAATAACTAAGGAATTCTCTTTGTATTTATTTGACAGTTCATAAAAAAATAAAACAAATACCATAGCAATAAATCAAAGAAAATACTTTTTTCATTTCAAGATCATTCAATTTTTTTTCTGTAAAACATTTATACAATTTCCGTAAAAATATAACAAAGATTTATATTAACAATTTGTTTTAAATATTTGTTAATATATTTATTGTATTTAATAATATATTTTAATATATTAATTTTAATTGTTAATTTATTTAAGAGTGGAAATTTTTTAAATAAATAGTGCCATATGTTCTTTGTTTTTGTTTGTTGTTCAGAGAAATAAAACAATGCTATCGTAATATTTATTATTGTTATATATTTTGCTCCGTTCATTGATTTAAAGCCCTTCAGCAAAACAAACAACTAAGCAGCCTTATAATGCCAAGTACCTTTGTCATTAACCGAATAGTTAATCAATTTTTGAAAACATTGTAGATTAAGGATATTTGACTCCAACATTTCTTCCAGTGGAAAAATACATAAATTTATATATACCAGCAATAAAATATGCATTTGGAAATAAATAACTACTGGTCTGTTCAAGAACTCCAAGAATGTAAAAGTTTTCACAACGATAACCGATTTTCTCTTTCTGAGAAGATTCTTGGAGGTACTGGAACAAAGCATACATAATTTTTTCCTACATTTATAGTTGTCATGGTAGAAGAATACAGGTTGAGATGTTTTCATCTGCAACCAACTTCAGACTGCTGTCATTTCTAAGTCACTCGTCTGACAGCTGTTAAAATTATTCCAGTGACAGCTTATTATATTGTTTACAAGCGTATTTTGGTGAGAATTTTCCAGCAAAAAAAAGTTATTTGTGATGGAATTCAAGCGGGATAGTGTGATTTCTTTATATTTGGCTGGAAAACCACAAGTGGCTATCGTTAGAGCACTCTAGCATTAAAATGTGAATAAATCTGTTGTGTCTCGCATCATCGCCCGACGTCAAGCAGAAATGGTGCGAAAAGTAAAGAAGCGACTTGATTTAAACTCGCGTCGCAGTGGCCGAAAAAAGGCTCTTGAGCTGAACATATCGCAATTTTCCATTCGGCAAATATTGAAAAATGAGCTCGAGGTAAAGCCATTGAAATTGCAAAAAGTGCAAGAACTTACACCGCAACAGAAAGAAAATAGACTCAAAAGGGCTAAAAAGTTTCTTCGCTTGGCCGAAAGTGGTGAACTGCCGAATTTGGCAGTTCGTTGTCCAGCAGTTTGTAAACAAATAAAATGATGGTGTTTACTTGCCAAAGAGGTCAGCTGAAATGTGCACCTTCAGTTGGCCACCAGAACTCAAGCTCCGGCCATGGCGTATTAATCGTATAAATCATTAGAATAAATGCCGAATATTATCGCGAAAATATTCTGGAGGATGTATTAAAGTCTTGGGCACGCAAACATTTTGGCCGCAGACCTTGGACATTCCAACAGGACTCAGCTCAATCGCACTCAGTACGCGCCACCCAAGAATGGTTACAAAATGAGATTCATCGCTTCATTTTCAGCGCACAAAAATCTCCGGATACCAATCCGTTGGTCTCTTGTGCCTGGAGTATTTTGAAAGCAAGGTTGGCACTAAAAGGTACCAAATTATCTATCACCTCAAACAAACGCTTCGCCGGGAATGGGCCAAAATACCCCAGAGAGCAACATTCGGGCAGCATGTAACGGTTTCATTGGCCGTTTGAAGGCCATAATTCGTGCCAAAGTTGACCAATTCGAAGGAATCTAAACTTATTCTAAAATTTGAAGCTATTTCCGACATTTTTTGCTTTTATTCAATAAAATTTTAAAGAAAATGTAAATATTATGGCGTTTGACATTGTTGCAGTTTTTTTACCTCACCCAGGTAGTCGCATCGAAACAGCTGATGGGGCAATGAACTGTCAAACTAATTTTGAAATTGAAAATTTTCCATAAAAAATTATTGAAATTTGTAAAATCTTTTGAAAAATACAAATAATAACAAACTCCAATTGGCGTCGTAAAAGAAATATATAAAAATCTACTTATTTTCACAAATTTTTTTTAAAATTTTTGACATATCAATGTTCCCAAGCATTGATGCATCTACCTGTATTCTTCTACCATAATAGGTGTTTCCACCTGTTTACAAAACAATGTTTGAAGTGTTTTGTTTTCATCTGAATTTTATTTCATTTAATTTTCCAAAATAGCAAATTTGATCAAAAACCCACTTTCACACACTTTTAGAACATCCGAAGCAATAGCTATTACCCACACTTGTGTACACGTGTGACTGTATGCGATGGCATCTGTCATCGGCAGTGCAAAACGTTTCTTCAGTGGGGGCCTAAACAAGAACGCCAGGCAACAGGCCAACCAAAAATATCCAAAACACGCGATTCGAGGAGGCAAACATACGCTGCTCGACAACATAAAAGAATATCCCGAAAAAAAAAAAACACACACACACTTTTTTTCTCCTCAAAATAATTGTTGTTGTTTGTTTTTATTATATATATAATGGACGTCAGAATGGAATAATTGTCATACTAATACACATACCCACACATAAAAACAGACATATCCCCATTGACTATATTCCATAGAACTACAGTCAGACAACAAGTGAGAACACGACACACAGACACATAAATAATAATAATAATACATTTTCCAATTTTATTTTTTTTTGTTCATTTCATTTCAGAACAGAAGTAGATTTGATGAAAATCGCGCACAAAAGTGAAATCAGTTGACAATCAAACATCACCAACAACGGTTGGTGATTTACTCTTACTTCGGATAGTTTTGTGAACTGTAAGAAAAGAAAAAGAAGAAGAAGAAAACATAACAAGGAATCATCATTCTCGTCGAAGTGCAAGTGAACGAATAAATAGTGAAAAAAGGAAATATCAATTAAAATAGTGTCCTTGATATTCAAGTGTCATCATAAGTTATACAAACGCGCACACATTACACAATGTTTCGAAAGTGTTTAACGACATTGGTGCAAAGCACAGTTAGCACCGGAACTTTAACACCCAAAGCCAGAGAGTTTCTCCGGCGTTCTGTGCACAATGGAACTATGGGACGTCCACCAAAAATTCTCATAACTGGTGGGTTCAAAGAAATAAAAGTTGAAGTGAAATAATTTTGAAAAATAACCTCGCAAATGCGAGTTTTACAAGAAACCTGATTTTTATTAAAAAGAAAATGACAATTCGAATGAGGTGATTTATTAAAACATGTTTGGTGTGAACATAACCTATACCCTAAGGTCCTTAGTAATAAATTAATTTCAGTTTTAGATAGATAGATGTTTTATGATAGGGCTTCTCAAATCTGCACCTATATTACCAGCTTTACGAAGATTCATCGTTTATTTGACATATTATCAAAGGAATTGACAATCTAAATAGCGAGTTTTATAAAAACATGCTCAGTGTAAACAAGGCTTTACAAAAGAACACCAAATAAACAGCCATCAAAGTTGGAAGGAAATTTGTAATAAAGATCAATGATTCTTATGCCGATAGTTTGTCAAAAATATTTAAAAAAAACGACAATTTAAAAAACCATCTGAGTCTTTGACCATTCTTAAGAACATACAATTTTACGGCTCTTCAAATAATTTTCTCATGGTAGAATAAAGGAGGCAAAGTCATGCAATCATATGTTTAGAATTTTTGCAAAAAATATTTATTTGACAACATCTCAAAATTTGTATTTATAAATACATTGTACATACACAAATCAGAGATGGGAACCCGTTTTTATGTAGTAAAATGTGACAAGATAAATAACAGAAAATGTAGAGATGGGAATGCTTATTTGCTTCTTAATTTTACAATGAATTTTCTATAGAATACACAATTATTGTATTGTTTATGTAGTACGATTCTTTTTTATGTAATACGTAAAAATATTCACTTGATAATTATAACACATACACATAACACATATATTTCAAGATAACTTCAAACATATTCCATCTCTGAATTGGATATGTTGTTAAAAGCACAATTTTGACACATTTTAGTTAGTGTAAACGTACTATAATAGTACGTTAATAGCATGGCAGAAGAATACAGGTAGATGCATCAACGCTTGGGAGCATTGATATGTCAAAAAAATTTTAATGTTTTTTTCAAATATAAGTAGATTTTTATATGTTTTCTTATACTACGTCATTCGGAGGCTATTATAATTCGCGTTTTTCAACAATTTTTACATATTTAAATAATTTTTCATTCAACATTTTCAATTCCAAAATTGGTTTGACAGTTCATTGTCCCAGCAGCTGTGTCGACGCGTCTACCTATATTCTGCTACCATGGTTAATAGCATGGTAGAAAAATAGAAAAAAGTAGACGCATCGACACAGCTGATGGGACAATGAACTGTCAAACGAATTTTGGAATTGAAAATGTTGAATAAAAAATTAGTTAAATTTGTAAAAATGGTTGAAAATGCGTATTCTTATAACCTCCGAATGACGTCGTATAAGAAAACATATAAAAATCTACTTATATTTGAAAAAACATTTAATTTTTTTTATATATCAATGCTCCCAAGCGTTGATGCATCTACCTATATTCTTCTACCATGATTTATAGCAATGAACTGTCAAACCAATTTTGGAACGGAAAATTTTTAGTAGAAAATTATTTGAATTTTAACAATTAAAAAATGTATATCATAACAACCTTCGATTGGCGTCGGGTAAGAAAGCATATACAATTTTATTTGTGTTTAAAGAAACATTTAAAATTTTTTTGACATATCAACGCTTTGGCACATTGATGTCAAAAAATTAAAAAAATAAATATTTTTTTATATGTTTTCTTATACGATGACAAATGTTATGGTATGCATTTTTCAACAATTTTAACGAATTTGAATAATTTTGCAATTAAAATTTTAAACTTCAATATTTGTTTGACAGTTCATTGCCCCAGCAACTGTGTCGGAGCGACTACCTGTATTCTTCAACCATGGTTTATCGTTAACTGGATTTAGGCATTTCAATGGACTTTAATTTTGAATTCAATTGCATAATGGTCAAATAAGCGAGCAATAAGCTTTACCCATTATGATAACAATTAAGTAGAGTACACACTATCAACTTTGACCAAAAGTATCTTAAAGAAATAGCCAGGATAAAATGATACAGGATACAGGCGCATCAACCCTGCTGTTGGTACAATGAGCTGTCAAACCAATTTTTGAATGAAAAATATCGAAATTTGTAAAAATTGTTGAAAAATGCATGTCATAACAACCTCCGATTGACGTCGTGTAATAAAAGCTTTTAAAATCCATTTATTTTTGGAAATATTCTTTTTGACATATCAATTTTCGCGAGTGTTGATGCATCTGCTTATATTCTTCTAACATGGAAATAGCAATAAAGTCTACCCGTTATGGCAACACTTAAGTAGAGTACACACTATCCACTTTGACCAAGAGTATCCCAAACAAATACCAATATCTAGAGCTTTGTTGGGTTGTTTGTAACGATAACATTAGCATTTTTGTTTGATGACAAACTGCATTTGAGATTCAATTTTATTTGACGTATATCCAAATAGAATTAATAGTTAGAATCCAATCGATTTAGTTAGTGTAAACGTACTTTAATAGTACGTTTGTAGTTTTCTGAATCTAGTTGCGAATTAAATTGTCAATTCCATCGCATTCATGTCAAATAATCGAGCAATAAGCTCAACCCTTCAGTAGAGTACACATTATCATTTTTGAACAAAAGTAACGCAAAAAATTATCAATATCTAGAGTTTTATTGTTCTTAACGGGAACATTGTCATTCCTGTTGGATGGCAAACTTTTAAGGTAAAATGACATAAAAAACTTTAAAACACTTAAGTCATCGGCTGGCTTCTTCGTAGAGAAACAAATGAGTTTAAGGTTGACTTAGTTCGATTTTTGTCCTACTCTTCTTTGTTCTTTTCCGAAGAAACTAGCCGATGAAGTTAGTCACAAAAGCGTTTTATGTATTCTCACCTTTAGTCAATAAATGAAATCAGCTTGATAAACATGTCGGAAACGAGTGAATTATGTTTTTTTACATTTAACTTTAAAACTCCACCATTTTAAGTTAACATTTTTAATTCTAACAGTTTACACATTAATGTTTATAACTCTTACTAAATTTTCAAAGAATATATATTTAAAATACCCCCGTAGTATCCATAGAATATGTTTATTCTCATTACATAAAATTCTAATTTAAATACATGACAAATGGTCTTCTTTGCAATTGTTGTTGTATACATAATTAAATCAGAATTAAACCACATTACCAGGATTTTTTGTTTTATCGAATAACCAACCGGATTTACCATACAAAAATAGATCATCTCACAACCGGATTTATTTTAAATCCGTTGCTATATCTACTTATTAACGGAAGGCATTGCTGGATGTTTACATTAGTACTGCGGTTTACCCCAGAGTCGCATATGTTTTCGCAAGGGCTTTGTTTACATTTTGCATTCGAACAATAACTAAAAAAAACTCAAAATTGCTGGTACAATGAACTGTCAAACCAATTATGAAATTGAAAATTTTAAATGAAAAATTATTGAAATTTGTAAAAAAAATTTTAAAAATGCATATTATAACAACCTCCGATTGCTGTCGTATAAGAAAAATTATAAAAATCTACTAAGTTTTGAAAAAAAAAAACATTTAACATTTTTTGACATATCAATGTTCCCAAGCGTTGATGCATCTACTTGTATTATTCTTATATGGTTGTGTACGTATACGTAAACAAACATTAGCTAATCGGCTTTTATATCCTTCTAAGAGTGTTTTTAAACACACAACATCTAATAAAACGAGTGGGTTAATCTTCAATAGTGTAAATGCTCTGTTATATTCAATGGAATTGACATTTTAAATGCTCCGTTTTTACATAACCCCCATCAGGCCTCCATAACATTTAGCTATACAATATTTCCGTTTAGTAATTTTTTAACACTTTTTAACCATGTCGCTATGTCAGATATTAATACAATTTCTTTCCAAGTCTATTATAATCACAATGACTGACATTCCCCAGGGGCTTGTTTAAGATGCGTTTATCTTAAAAAAAACTTTCTGTCATACGTTATTTCCAAAAATATATTTTTTTATCTAACATAATTCATTTTGATTTTCTCAAAAAGATTTGGCAAACATCCTAAAAACGTGTACCAAAATCAAGGCCATCGTATGATTTTCTAAAAAAAAATCGCAATGAAAGCAAGGCGAAATATGTCATCATCCAATGTTGCTCAAAATAATTTGGTATTTAAAAAATATTGTAGAGAGCATAGGAGATTGCGTTTGTGTTAAAGTGGGGTTATTAACATTAGTTTTCAACAGAAAAAAACTACTGTTTGAATTTTGTTTGTATGTGGCCTTCATAGTGTTTTTGCAGATTTCCGCAAATGCATGTACAATAATTTTACTTTTTGTTGTCATGGCCAAAAAAAGAGAAGGCATTGAGAAGAAACTGTATTGATTTAATAAAAGCCTTGTGTAAGCAGTATAAAGAAAAAAATTATTGGAGAATTTTATGCATAAATATTTGGTATTAATCTCCTAAATATGTAACTCGAAAGGTGGATACAGTATGTGTCATAAAAATGGATAAAAGGGAGGCAAGAAATTAGAAATTAATGTTTATTCGTTTCTCTGTTCCAAAAACCTATTGCCTTATTTAATGCCAAAGCATTGAAAGTGATCTGCGGAAAATATTATGCATAGGCCTGTTCTTATATCTTTCCTTTATAGTCCACTTTTATTAACCCTTACTTTAGGAAAACTGAAGTATAAAGATCACATTATCGGGTTCTCATTAATACATCTTTCCTTTAAAATATGTGTATTTTTACAGAGATGTGGCAAGCTTTTTAAAAGTAACTGGTATTCACTGCATTTTTTTCACAATGACATCTTCATTTTAGTTTAAAAACAATAAACAAAGTGCGAATTTCGTGAAATTAAATTTATAATTCAGTTCTTCAATATAAAATAAACAATTTGCGTTATCCATTTTTTATTTAAAAAAATTTTGCTGTTATTGCCATTTTATCAATAAACAATATGGCAACATGAATTCAGTAAACTTTGCGTTAAAAGATAAAGGGAAGATGATCTGAACTTTTGCTTATCGGACAGTTCATACTTAAATGAAACTTGTAATAATGAAAAACGTTTTATGTGTCAGACAACATCGCCTTTTTATCTATCGGCAAGATATAATAACCGGCCATAATGTGTCAAATCATGAAACACAGCATTTGGCAAACTTTAGGCTTTAGTTTGTTCATGTTTTATAGTGGGTACCATACTTAAGCGTTCATTGACAAGATTATGAAACCGCCCATTCTCAACCATTCCAATTTATTTGATATATTCAAGGCATTAGCAGACGGCATGTGTTTTACATATGTGCTGTCATTTATATTATACATATGTATTTCCATGTGTATGTCAAAATTGGTTACTTTTACATATGACTCATAATTTTTGCTATCACCCACTAGCATATGTTTTTTATTTCTATTGAATACATAGTGATAGTATTATATTTGATCTCAAATTATATAATATTTTCACACAACAAACAAACAACGGTTTTTATTAAATGAAAATTTCCTATGAAAATAGGGTTCGCTGTGATCGAAAAAGAACGTATGTTTCTGGAACATTGATATTTCAAAAATTGTTAAATGTTTTTTCTAAAACAAGTAGATTTTTTTATGTTTTCTTATACCTTCCCATCGGAGGTTGTTATGATATGCATTTTTTTTAATTTTTTTTCTAAAATTTCAATAATTTTTTATTTAAAATTTTCAATTCCGAAATTGGTTTGACAGTTCATTATCCCAGCTGCTGTGTCGATGCTACTGCCTGTATTCTTCTACCATGGCGTATACGCCACGCAGATCGTATTCAAAAATCCCGTAAATATTATTTGGCGTATACGCCGTGGTAGAAGAATATAGGTAGATGTATCAACGCTTGAGAAAGTTGATTTGTCAAAATTTTTTAAATGTTTTATCAAAAATAAGTAGATTTATAATGTTTTTTTATACGGCACTAATAGGAGGTTGTTAAAATATACATTTTTCAACAATTTTTACAAATTTCAATAATTTTTCATTCAATATTTTTAATTCCAAAACCAGTTTGACAGTTCATTGTCCCAGCAGCTGAGTCGATGCGACTACCTGAATTCACCTACCATGGTACCGGCTTTAAAATAAATATAGTCGTGAGAAGGTCAACTTTTGTATGGTAAATTTGCTTGAATTAAACCAATAAATCGTGAGAATTAAAAAAATCAAAACGTGCTATTAAGTTGAGTACACATTATCAAAATAGGCCATGATTTGAATTGTGTTTACACAGAATGTTGTTCATGGGGCAATTACATGGCAGAAGAATACAGGTAGATGCATCAACGCTTAGGAACATTGATATTTCACAAAATTTAAAGTGAATTTTTCAGAAAAAAGTAGATTTTTATATGTTTTCTTATACGACGATAATCGGTGGTTGTTAGATGTGCATTTTTCAACAGTTTTAACGAATTTAAATAACTTTTCATTCAAAATTCTCCATTTCAAAGTTTGTTTTACAGTTCATTGTCCTATCAGTTGTATCGATGCGACTACCTATATTCCTTTACCATGGGCAATTACAAGGTTGTTCCCTACATTTTAAAAATAAAGTAAAATGTCAAAATTGCTTAATTTTTGTTTATATTTCGTACTAATTTCAATCACGGTAAACTGATAGCTTACCAAATGGTCATCTGTGATAAATGGAGTGCTTATTTATTGTGTCCATTTTCCATGGTAGAAGAATATAGGTAGATGCATCAACGCTTAGAAACATGGATATGTCAGCATTTTTAAAATGTTTTATCAAAAATAAGTATATTTTTAAATATTTTCTTATATCACGCAAATCGGTGGTTGTTATAATATCAATTTTTCTACAAATTTTACAAATTTCAATAATTTTTCTTTCAACATCTTCAATTCCAAAATCGGTTTGACAGTTCATTGTCCCAGCAGCTGTGTCGATGCGACTACCTGTATTCTTCTACCATGGTGTACGTTATAGAATTGACATTTGAGACCGAGTGGATTTCGTAAATCTAAACGTAGTTTTATTTCTTATATTAAACATGGCAGAAGAATACAGGTAGATGCATCAACGCTTGGGAACATAGATATGTCAAAACATTTTAAATTTATTTTCAAATATGAGTAGATTTGTATATGTTTTCATATACGACGTCATTCGTAGGTTATTATAATTCGTGTTTTCCAACAATTTTTACAAATTTAAATAATTTTTCATTCAACATTTTCAATTTCGAAATTGGTTTGACAGTTCATTGTCCCATCATATATTCTTCTACCATGATATTAAATAACGTTTCATTGATTTTTGCCAGGTTCATACGATTGGGATAAATTATTTAAAGTATCAGGTCACACAACAAATCTCGTAGTCATTTTTTAAACTAAATTGTATTTGTATACTAGCACCTAGTATATAAACCCAAAAAAAACTGTAAAAACCCGTAAATCTAAAAAATTCTTTTTTTCTCTTCCCTTTTCAGGTGGTTTGGGTCAATTGGGCATTGAATGCGCTAAGTTGTTGCGTTCCCAGTATGGCAGTGAAAATGTCATTCTCTCGGACATTATCAAGCCCAACGATGCCATTTCTGAAAGTGGGCCATATATCTTTGCGGATATTTTAGATTTCAAGGGATTGCAGAAAATTGTTGTCGATCACAGAGTTGATTGGTTGATACACTTTTCGGCATTGCTGTCAGCTGTGGGAGAACAAAATGTGCCATTGGCTGTAAGGTATGTACACAGTATGTGTGTAACCATGGAAATTTGTAGTAGACTTTCACTACTAAATTGTTGTTTGTAATAACAACAATAGCAAATGTGAACATAATAATGTAGCTTGTTTTGTGTCTACAATGTACGGTGTGTATATTGCTGGCCAAGCAATTTAATTAACTTTGTTGTGATTGCATGTTTCTCGATGGCGAATTGTGGATTTCCTTGTCATAATGTAATAGCACACATATGTAGCTAGCAGTGTTGTCACAAAAACTGTAACGCTTTTCTCCTTTCATTGCAGAGTCAACATTGAGGGTGTCCACAATGTTATCGAATTGGCTAAACAATATAATTTGCGCATATTTGTACCAAGCACCATTGGCGCCTTTGGCCCCGACAGTCCTCGCAATCCAACACCAAATGTTACAGTAGGTTACCCCTTTCCCCGATGATTTGGTTTTGCATGACATGATTTAGTTTTCTAACCATTTGTTTTTGTTTTGTTCATTTTTTTTAGATTCAAAGACCCCACACTATTTATGGTGTCTCAAAAGTTCACGCTGAACTGATTGGAGAGTATTATTATCATAAGTTTGGTTTAGATTTTAGATGTTTACGTTTCCCCGGTGTTATTTCCAGTGATCCACCAGGCGGTGGCACCACCGGTAAGTAAATACCAATTTATTTGCAAGTCACCACGAAAAATTGGAGTGTGGTCAGGAAGCTTTGCAATGTTGCCAATAGTAAATTGATAAGTTATCTGGCCATACATCAAATTAGACATTCAAAAGCAGTTATTGCACAATTTGAAGTACTGTCCAGCAAGAATACATGTTGCCTTTATCAATTATAAAAAATACATAATAAAAATCATTATAAATCGGATTATCCTGTAAAGAATAAATCTAAACTTTACAATAAATATTTTACTCATATTCTGTTATAGACTATGCCGTAGCCATTTTCCATGAGGCTTTAAGAACTGGAAAATATAATTGCTACTTGAGACCTGATACACGCTTGCCCATGATGTATATTGAGGATTGTTTAAGGTATAGAACCACACAAATTATTAAATTTTAAATTTTTCTCTTTATATCCATAATTTTATCTTATTGCAGATCCCTGCACGAATTCATGTGTGCCCCTTCGGAACAATTGAAACGTCGTGTTTACAATGTCACTGCCATGTCATTTACCCCCGAAGAATTGGTGGAAAAGCTTAGCAAATATGTACCCAATTTGCATGTGACCTATCAACCCGATAGCCGGCAACAAATTGCCGACTCATGGCCTCAGGTCTTTGACGATAGTGAGGCACGTCGCGACTGGAATTGGCAACACAAATACGATTTGGATAATTTGGTTGACTTTATGGTCAAGGATGTCCAGGAGAATTATATCAATGTTGAAAATGGTGGTGGTCAACAGCAAAGAGCATCGGCTACCATGTAGACTTCTTTTCTCCGAATTTTAATTCAATTTTGCTGCTAATTGCATTAATTAAAAACTAAGTATTGTTGGTTTTTTCCGCTTAGAATATTAGAATATTTTAAGTTTAGGACCATAATAAAAAAAACACTACCATTATGCATTTCAAAAAAATATTACCACAAAGACCAAATTAAGAAAAATCTCAAAACGAGTAAAAATATGCATTTAAGTGTTATATACATATTTACTGTTATTTTATTTTACAATCATAAAAAGAAAAACAATTATTATTTATTTTATTTTTTTGAAAACACAAACTATTTTATTCAAATAATAAAAAATCATTTAATAAAAAAAAAAAACAAATAAATAAAAGTTTTTAAATCAAAGATTTATTTGGTGTAAAACCAATAGAATTGACAACTTAAAGTAAAAGTTTCCTCAGATATCACTTTCCAGACGTTATATTTTAGTTCTTCTGGTTTTTATATGACAGTTTTTCCTTTATTATGTGAGTTTTGTGTGAGTTTTACGAAGATTCGTCATTTATTTGACGTATAATAAAAGGAAGTGGCAATCTAACTAACGCGTTTTATGAAAACATTTAACGTTGAAAGATATTTTTGTTTTTATTTTCGAAAAAAGACAGGGTGATCTTTTCCTCCGATCTTTCATAAATACTCAACAAATTCTAATGAAAATGTTATTTGCGTTCTTTCTAAATGTTTTTAATTTAATATTTCAACGAACAGTTAAGCTAGGAACACAATTGGAGCGAACGACGAATTTCGCCCTACGCGGCGACAAAATGAGCCGCGAAAATTCGTCGTATGGAACACAATACCGACGAAATTATAAAACAGCTGATGAAGTTGTTTACTTTTTGCTCATTTGTTGACTACAATGAAAATTATACAAGAACTCATAATTCTACGTTCTCTATTATAATTTCAGTTATGTCCATCTTCTCTATTATAAATTCACTGATATCCATCTTCACTCAGGCGCAAGTGCACAAATAAATAAACAAATTATTTATGTTTTTTTATACGAATAACAGATAGTAGAGTGACCATAACAAATTTTAAAGTAAATAGTAACTTTATTTACTAAAACACATAAAATTCGTACAAGTATGGCCACCTTGTACTGTTTTGTTCGCCGGCGTATGAAATAGAAATAAAGCTAATTGAGTTCGCGGCGACCGACGAAATTTTCGCCGGCGCCGTGATTGTGTGCACTTCCATATACACATATGTGTTTTATTTTTGTTGACGAACATACGCCGCGAAAAAATTCGTCGTTCGCTCCAATTGTGTTCCTAGCATTAAGCTGAAATCGTAACGAACACCTGTATTACTGCATGACGTAACGTGTGCGTAACGTTACTGATGCAATAACTGTTGATAAAAGAAACACCCTGTAACGCTTTAGTTTGGCACTGAATAGCGCCGTTTGGCGTCAAGCGATCTTTTTGCCATTATTAAGACATTACTAATAAAATATTGAGGGAATTCTTCAATATTTTCATGCAATTTGTGAGGAATGTGTTCTGAAAAACTTGATATGGAGTTAAAAATTAATACTATTAACTCCTTTTATTAAAATGTAATGTTTTTTTATTAAGAGATAAAAAGCCTATCGATGATTTTATGCTAAAAATGAATGAGAAAATTTTTAGGTGAATTAATAATAATAACAATTTACCTTCGATTAAAAGATAGGCTTTTAAGCAGGTAAAAGTTTGTTCGTTATATTTAACTTATGTTTTTACAACTCTTTTTTTATAATTTTTCTTTGTCCAAAAAACTTCTAGGAACACAGAGAAAATGTTAGTTTCTTTTTCCACTCTCAGATCAAATTAATACAAAAAAGTGGTGGCATGATGAGCAAATATGTCGATTTTAAAGAATTTCTATACTGTTTGGGCATTTTTACTAGTTTTTTCATAATTCTGATTATAAGCATAATTGAATAAATACAAAAAAAAATTAGCAGAGGAAAAAGAATTTTAATCAGTTGGTAGATTTACCTTAGCTTTTCACATGGTACAATAAGGAGGTAGAACAGCTTGATAAAAGTACAGAAATACACCCCTTGGAGCTAAATCCGCTTTCTGCAAGATTTATTCAAAATTAGAAACAACAGGTTGGCCTAATTTATTCAATATTTTCCCTTTTTTGGAATATTGATTAAAAACCATGAAAGTTGAATTAAACGCCTAGATTATCTTTCATAAATATTACCCCATTTGATCAATCTTTCAATTCCATGGCAAATATGGTTATTACCTTTAATTTGCGCGCTGTAATCATTGATTTTGATATATTTTGTTTTTTTTTTCAAAGCAATCAATTCATATACAAAATTGGCAGAAGTCGCAGAAATTGTAATCAGCTGGTAACTATATTGTACCATGAGTTTTTCATTTTTACATGCATTAATCTAAAAATCATTAGCATTTCAATTTATAAAAGTTTCTGAATAAAAGGGTAAACACCCTATAAATAACATAAAATAGTTATTGCCGAGCATTAATATTATGAATATAGGCTTTTTTTACATATTTCACTATCCCCTCGCATTTTTGTTTAATTGTTGTTGTTTTTTAGCTTTTAGCACTAGTTGTTTTCATTTAATTTCGTACCCTGTACTTTCTCTCGTCATCGCAAAATAACAACTATTTATCGATTAACATCGATAACCGACGAAACAAATGCCATTAAATCGTTTCACCGATAGCTTGCTTATTGTCATCACCATCGCAGACGAGTAGCATTCATTATCTTCTTTTTTGTTTTCGTTAATAAAAAAAATACAAATTTTCTGTGTGCGTGTGAAAAACAGAAAATCGCGACTAGAATGACTCAAGCCGCAATCGGTGGGAATAATTAGTGTTAAGATTTACTTCGAACACGGAAAAACATAGAAATTAACACGCAGTGTGCGACGAAAACGAAATAAATTAGACGTGTGTATCGTCACACACACGGGTCCGAAACACAAAAAAAAGAAAAAAAAATAAAACAAAAACGACACAAACAACGACTAGACACCCAAGAAGTGTAGTGAAGTGAAGAAGATGTCACATCTACCAACACCTTTGTATGGATTCGCAATATTTTTCTTGATTTTTTGGTGTGGAACCTGGTGTGTGCATCTGATAGCGATATGCTATGGTAAATTCAAACTGCACAAGAAATCGTGTAAATGCCCCAGCGAGACGCCGTTGCCGGGTGTGTCCATACTCAAACCGCTGATGGGTGTCGACCCGAATTTAGAGCACAATCTAGAAACATTTTTCACCATGGATTATCCGGTGTACGAGCTGTTGTTTTGCGTGGAGGATAAATGCGATCCCGCGGTGAAGATTGTGGAGGGACTGATTGACAAATATCCACTAGTGGATGCCCGTTTGTTTTTGGGCGGTTCAAATGTGGGTGTGAATCCGAAAATAAACAACATGAATCCTGCCTATGAGGCGGCAAAATATGAGTTCGTTATGATCTCGGATAGTGGAATTAAAATGCGTAATGATACATTGCTGGATATGGTATATCATATGGGCGAGAAATATGCCCTGGTGCATCAAATGCCGTTTACATGCGATCGCGAGGGCTTTGCGGCCACCTTTGAAAAGGTGTTCTTTGGTACGGTGCAATCGAGAATATACTTGTCGGCGGATTTTTTGGGCATCAATTGCCATACGGGCATGTCATGCTTGCTGAGAAAGTCGGTGATCGATAGCCTGGGAGGGCTAAAAACATTTGGCTGTTATTTAGCTGAGGATTTTTTCATTGCCAAAGCCATTACCGAACAGGGCTGGAAAATGCGTATCAGCAATCAACCGGCCTTGCAGAATTGCGGTACATGTGATATTAGTACATTTCAGCAAAGACTTATACGTTGGGCCAAATTGCGGGTGGCCATGGTGCCGACAACGATATTGCTGGAACCGCTGTCGGAGTGCATGGTCTTGGGTGCATTGGCTGCCTGGTCGGCGACAATTGTTTTCAAATGGGATCCCTTGGTGTTCTATTTGGTGCACATACTCACATGGTTTCTGTCCGATTGGCTGCTGCTGTCCATCGTGCAAAATGGTTCACTGACCTTTCATAAATTTGAATTTGTCATCGGTTGGCTGTTTCGTGAATTGAGTGGGCCATATTTGTTTCTGCATGCCCTGTGGAATCCAGCGATTAGATGGCGTACACGCACCTACAAATTAAGATGGGGCGGAATAGCCTATGAACTGCCGGATAATTGCTGTAGTAGTAGTGGTAGTTGTAAATGCAGTAGTAGTATTATTAGCTCGGCTAGCAGCAGCAGCACCTTCCAAACAAATCTCAGTAGCAAACGTCTATTGATTTCATCGTAGCATAAGATTCTCATGTATTATTTAGCATCATCAGCAGCAATCTGATTTTACATACCTCGGGAGTATAGAAAAAGAAGGGGTATGTAATGGAAAATAGCAACAACAAACAACAATAACATGAACATTATCATCATCAGCGTTATTAACATCATCATCATCAACAACAACACAGACGAATTAGCATTTTTCTTGTCATCACCACCATCAACGATGCCTGGCATCAATAACTCATTCATTTGTATTTGTTTTCGGATTATTTTTCTTTTGTTTTTGTTTTTATTGTAAATTAATTTCTTTTTTGTTAGTTCGAATTGTTGTTTTTGTTTATATACATACATATATATATAATATTTCCTAGCACACAGATTCCCTTTTGTTTTCCGTGTTCTTAGTATATAAAAAAAAACATAATTTATTTTCTCTCCCTCTCTATCTCTCTCTCTTTTGTGTAGTTTATTTTAAAGGTTTTTCTATCTAAATATTTTCTATATTAGCAATTAAACAAAATATATATTAATAATATATGTTATTTTATAAGATCTATTTATATAAGAGTAGTTAAGAAACGAAACGAGAAATTAAAAGATAACAATAATAATAAATACCGAGATATAAAAAAACATTCGAAATTATCAAAAAAATAATAAAATACGAAATCAATTTAATGAGGAGGGGGTTTGTAGTGGAATATAAAATTGCAAAATAGGAAAACAAAAATTTCAATTTCATGACCAAATTATATGGATTCCATCTGTACTCTTGACGGCAACAAGATTCCATGACAACCCCAAAAACAAAATTTAGAATTAAGGTATTGTAATGGGATCTAATTGCCAAGCAAAATTATAAAATAAAAAATTCCCATTTGATGCTCAAACAATTCATATTCCATTTGAAAAGCCGCTGTTAAAACATATGATTCCATAACAATGTTGAAACCAAAATTAGCATTAGAGGTTTGCCAAGGGAATCTTATTGCCAAATAGATTTTAAAAAAATATACTCTGTTTTTAATTGCTACTTGATCTAATGAATCTTATTCCATTTGGCAATAAGATTCCAAACAACAAACTTGAAACAATAAATTTATGTACACATCAAAAGGATAAACTTCAAAAAAAAAAACGAATAATTTCAACACTCCTATTTCCATTTATTATTAGCTATAATCTGAAACTGAAAGCAAATCATGAAATTAGAATTGAAAGGGGGTAAATATAGAAAACATAACACAAAAATCCTATAAAATCAAGTATTTTTGTTTGTTTTTATTTTATTATTATTATTTTTTTTTTAATTTATACCCTTTGGCTAATAACTACCAAAAAAAAAAAAGGAAATCAATTGAAATTAAATCAAGTTATCTGTTTTTTAGACCTAGAACTTGTTGAATTTTTTGTAGATATCTTCATAAAATAATTAATAATAATAACAACAATAATAATAATAATAATAATTTTTTAGTAATAATAAATTATACTTTTAGCTCAGATATTCCAAAAAAAAAAAAGAAAAAAGAAGAATGAAATGTTTTTTTTTAATGCTTTAGTTTAAGATATGGTTTTTTGCTACTAGAATTACACCCAGAGATAATACAAACAATGACTTATCTATCCAAAAACCAATATAATGAAATTACAAAAAACAAACAAAGAAATAAATAAACTAAATTTATTACAAAGAAATACTCATTATGTAAAGATCAAATACACCCGTGGAGAATGTTAAATGAATGGTAAAACAATAACTTTGAACAAAACAACAATAAACGTGTTTGTCTTTTTTCTTATGAACGTAACAAGAGCGAAAATAAAACAGAAATCAACAGAAATACAGACACAAAAGTCTTAAAGGTCGTTAATCGAAGCGTTATCGAATCATATGAGCGAATTCTAAACAGGCCATGAATACAAAACAAGTTGTTGTCAAGTAGGTGGGGGGGGGGCGGGCGGGTTGTCTGGTGAGCAAAATTTAATTTTGTTTTGTTTTTTCTGTTTTAATACCCCAAATCTTGTTGGGTTTTTATTTTCCATAATTTGTTTTGAGGAACTAATCGGACATGCATTCCGACAGAATAAGTTTCACTTAGATCACTTTATTCGCCGTTTCTATTTTTGTCCAAAAAAACATACCATCATGTGCCCCACAAGTTACTTGCGTGAGAGGGTAGCACATCGAAAAGAGTATATTAACTAAATTGGCTTAAAATTTTTTAGATAAAGTTAGCCAACAACACCTTCATTCGCTCTCCCGCAATTTTTCACATTCATAATTTGAATTTTTGTTTATAAGGGTGTGCTGTGAAACGAAATTGAGTGGGCTTTGCTAATTAGTATGAACTAATAATGAAATTATACAAATTTAGCGTTTTCTTAAAGGTCTAGTATGAAAATTTTATTTGTGATTGGATGATATCTTGAAAGGCTTAACACCAATAGTCAAGATACCTTGTTTTTATACCCTATACCACAAGGTGTCTTTGTACATTTGTTTGTAACATGGAGAAGAAAACGAGATAAACCCATAGTTACTTTTGAAGATCCTCATAGAAGTACTTTCTGAGTCGATTTAAGGATGTCCGTCCGTCCGTCTGTCCATGTATTTTTGTAAACAAAGTACAGGTCGCATTTATTGTCCGATTGAGATGAAATTTTCAAAGCATCATTAGTTTGGCCCAAGGACGAACCCTATTGAAATTGAAGAAAATCTGTCAAAATTTAGCTCCCATATATAACTGTCCGATTTGCCCTTTATTGTGTATCATTAACCCAAACAGTATGCAATTATGATGGAAATCGGTTCAGATATAGCCATAGCTGCCATATATATTGTTCGTTCGATTTGTTATTTTTGTCCTCCACAGCCATAATCTACAGTCTGCAACAGCCATACTCAGGGAAATATATCAGATACAGCTCAGAAATACTTTCGTCAAATTTAATCGAGATTAGTTCATATTAGAATATAGCTCCCATACAACCCTGTATCCGATTTCAAGTTAATTGTGCATTAAATCGTTAAAACAAACCGGAATTGGACTGGCACAAATGCCTCCGCAAATTTAGTAGAAATCGACTCAGAGGAGGATATTCCTCCCATACAGGGTGGGATAAAAAAAAATACTGCAACAAAGTCAAACGCCATAATATTTAGATTTTTTTTTAATTTTGAATTATTGAAAAATAGCATGAAATTCTAGAATAAGTTTCGATTTGTTTGAATTGGTCACCTTTGGCACGAATTATGGCCTTCAAACGGCCAATGAAATCGTCACACGCTGCCCGAATATTGCTCTCTGCGGTATTTTGGCCCATTCCCGGCGAAGCACTTGCTTGAGGTGATCGTCACTTTGATATTTTTTAGTGCCAACCTTACTTTTCCCGGGTCCGTCCCCCAAGAAAAAATAGTTTCCCCGGATCAGGGTAAAAATACCTACCACTAGAAAAAATTTCGAAAAAAAATGAAGAGTTTTTACTAAACTAGAGTTAAGCCGAAATCACAATATCACGATTGAATTCCATCAGAATAACTTTTTTTCTCCAAAATTGTCATCAAAATGCTTTTGTACGCTTGTAAACAATATCATAAGCTGTCACTGGAATAATTTTAACAGCTGTCGGAAGAGTGGCTTAGAAATGACAGCAGTCTGAAGTTGGTTGCAGTTTTTTCATCTCTCTCTCTCTGTCTGTTTAGTAATTTCTTTGGTCTTTAAATTATAACTATAATCATATGATTTAATTCTCACAATTTCCCCATAAAAACTTTTATTTATTACGTGATGCTCTACTAAGTATGCAAAGGGGTGTAAGGTATCATAAACACGGACCCGCCGGACTATTGGACTTTCCATACTGGTTTTTAACTGAGGGATTTTTTTTTTAAATTTATTCAAAGATGGGGCTGTTTCTACTATTTTCCATGTAATCATGAATAAGAGGCTCAAATGTAAGTATGACCTTGTATTTTATTAAAATTGTGCAAATAAACAAAAACAAATTCGAGATGTTTAATAAATTTCAACTTTTGGAATTTTTTCTTACTACACAGTCTATTGTTCAAATGTTGACAAAACAACTTAACAGGTGGTTAATGCTTCGAAATGTTGTGTTCGTTCGTCAAAAATATATATTTTAAGTACATTTGATAAAAATAGATTTGATTTCTTTCACGTTCGGTTTTTATTTGGTGGAATGATCACTATCTCAAAGTGATTGATTTTTATGGCAAACGTCAAAAATACGGCAATATTAAAGCAGTTAGGGAATCGATAAACGATTAATTAATTCATTTAAAACGCATTTGAAAATGAAAAAAATCGTGTTCTAACCTTCTTCTTAGTCATATAGCCAACTTTAAATTTATAATAAAAAAAAATCTATTCATAGTCTGATTGTCGTCATTATTGTCATTTGACGTCATTAAACATTTTGTTGTTGTTTTAAAAATTTGTTCTCATAAAACTTTGTTAACCGAACAATTAAATGAATATTTGTGCATGAATTGTATGACTATTTATATCTTTCTTGGTATCCGTCATTGAAATTCATTGAAAATTCCTTATTTCATTTATTTAAAGATATTATGACCCTTCAATACCACATGTATGTGTGTATGTATGTAAATATATACAAAACGAAAACCTTTTTTAAAATTTGCCTCATTTCAAAAAAAAAAATACAATTTAAAATCTGAGGTCACTGATACCCATCGAATTGTACTTTACATTAAAGTACATTTTTATTGGAATACAATGTCGTAAGAATTTATCTATCGTAATCAAATTGACTCATGAGTGGAAACCTACTCATATTACGACAAGTTAATGGTCATATGGTAATTAATGCTAGGAACACAATTGGAGCGAACGACGAATTTCGCGAGCCGCGAAAATTCGTCGTATGGAACACAATACCGACGAAATTATAAAACAGCTGATGAAGTTGTTTACTTTTTGCTCATTTGTTGACTACAATGAAAATTATACAAGAACTCATAATTCTTTATAATTTCAGTTATGTCCATCTTTTCTATTATAAATTCACTGATATCCATCTTCACTCAGGCGCAAGTGCACAAATAAATAAACAAATTATTTATGTTTTTTTTATACGAATAACAGATAGTAGAGTGACCATAACAAATTTTTAAGTAAAAAGTAACTTTATTTACTAAAACACATAAAATTCGTACAAGTATGGCCACCTTGTACTGTTTTGTCGCCGTTCGCCGGCGTATGAAATAGAAATAAAGCTAATTGAGTTCGCGGCGACCGACGAAATTTTCGCCGGCGCCGTGATTGTGTGCACTTCCATATACACATATGGTTTTTATTTTTGACGACGAACATACGCCGCGAAAAAATTCGTCGTTCGCTCCAATTGTGTTCCTAGCATAATAGCGCGCTTAAATACAACAGTTTTTTTCAGATTAACCCACATTATCAGGATTTAATAGTTTAACTCAGATTATTTTAACCAGATTTTACATAAAAAATAGCTCTTCTCACGATCGGATTTATTTTACATCCGGTACGGAATCTACAGCCCGATCTATGTTTCCGCAAATTTTTTGCTTATATGTTGAATTCGAACAAATAAACAAAAAACTTAATATATTTTATTTGCACTTAAAAAGATATTTGAATATTTTGTTGTTGTTGTCACACTGTTCTGTGATATTTGAATATTGTAAACAATTGTTGCAAATTGTTACCGTAAGTCGTCTGTTAACACAAAAGTTCTGCAAAAGGGAACCGTTCGAGTGAAAATTTTGACAGATCTTCTACTGAGAACTTGCAAATTCTTGCTGGACATATTTCATGGTAGAAGAATACATGTAAAAGCATTTACTTTTTACAGTTTTCTTGCAAAAGAGAATAAAACCAGCTCACTCTCTCAGAAAAAAGTTGCTGGACAATTCCTGCAGTAAAATTAACCAGACATACCTACTTTTTCTCGAAGACGATCATCAATGTGAATCATGGCGCAAGTACATGATGTTCCTGCAAATTTTAAAAACCAAATGAAATGTCAAATTTGGTTTACACTGTATTGACCATTGTGTATCTTTTGTTCTGTGATTTCAATCACAATATTCATTTCATCTCATTGTCAAAATTTGTATTTATAAATCCATCGTACATACACAAATCAGAGATGGGAACCTGTTTTTATGTAGTGAAATGTGACAAGGTAAATTACAGAAAATGCAGAGATGGGAATGCTTTTTTGAAATGACTTTACCCTCTTAATTTTACCATGGGTTGTGTATGTAAACGTAAACAAACCTCAGCAGAGCCACATTTATATTCTCCAAAAGTCCGTTTAGATTTACGAAATTCACTATATATCTATTCTTCCAGCATGGGTTTATCTAACCATAGTTAAAAGCGTTCCAGTACATTACGAAGTAATAAAACTTCTCCCAAAACTTTACAACAAACTTAGAGCACGTTTAGCCTACTAAATTCATTTGATTTCAAATGTCAATTCCATAGCGTATATCATGGTGGAAGGATGCAGGCAGATACATCATCGCTTGGGAACATTGATATGTCAAAAATTTTAAAATGTTTTTCAATTACAAGTAGACTTTTATATGTTTTCTTATACGACACAAATCGGAGATTGCAATTTCAATTTTTACAAATTTTAATAATTTTTCATTCAACATTTTCAATTTCAAAATCGATTTGACAATTAATTGTCCCAGCAGCTGTGTCGATGCGACTACCTGTATTCTTCTACCATGGTTACGAACCTAACGCAGC